ATTTTGATTTCGGCATGAGTTTGGAAATATTGGTGGTGGTTTCCCCGAGGTCACTTTCTTTTGAAGTTTGGGAGATTTTAAACCTCATTTTGGAAAAGCACTTGGTGGACTTGATCAATCCTAAGTTCTTTGGGGTTTGGGAAAATTAGTGCGAAGTGGCCCTTTATGTTTGTTAGGAAAGACCTTGGGCCCTACTTTTCTAGGTCTTTTCGATACGAGTTTTGAGAACTGATCTATTTTCTTTTTTGGTGTTTTAGATGGATCAGTGTCTCCTCTCTCTCACCCAATTTTTGTTCTTTTTTTTCCTTGCTTCTTGGTTCGTTCTTTTTTATGCTTATGTCCGATGCATAAGTGTCCACGTATAGCCTTTTGCTATACGTGAAACTATCAAGCAAGGTCGCAAGTAGTCGTTTTGGGGCGTACGGTGTTGATTATAAAGCCACACCGAAGATAGAGCAGAATGATGTCCTATCCTATAAAATCAAGATCCAGACATTTGATGAACAATAGGATATGATATCCTTCACCGACATAAATCTAGCGGGAGTTGGTTCGAACCTCCTCAGATGATTGGCAGTCTCATGCCCGACAGTATAATCGACTCGTGGACAACGAAAAATTTCTAAAAAAATATATATATAAGTTTTGATAAACCCTTTTCGAGTAAAAAAAACAAACATATTTCTACGAAACAAAATTGATAACTCTTCTTTGCATGTTTAAAATTTGTATGCATGTTAAAAAACATGAAACATACGTTAAAGCTGGTTGTCCACCTGACGAATACCTGTTTAGACTGGAAAATAGCCCTTTGAGTGAGGTTCAAGACACACTTCTAGACGAGTGGCGGGTTCTTCTATACATTCGGGTGACCGATTAGCCTTCGTGGACCCTCGGGAATAAATATACAGCTGAGCCTAGTCTCATACGAGTGCTTGCGATCACCCTCATCCGAACTTTTTTTTTGTTTTTTTTTTATCAAAACTTTTGGACAGAGCACTCGTGTTACTTTTCCTTTCTTTCGGGATTTCTCAAGGATTTTTGAGGATTTTCTTATTTTTG